AAACCCAAAGCTAGACTCAATCTAGGCCTTCCGTTTAGAATCCTCTTCACTACAATTTCAAACCTAAGGTATCCCACAACAAAATCTTTCTCCCATCCTCTAGAACCATCTTAAAAACCAATATTTGACCAAATAGGGGTCTCCAATCAATCAAGCCAATCACCTAAACTTGAAATGCCCAATTTAAGTAAATTGGTGAAATCTTCCACTCATTGTCTTGATTGATTGAGAGGATCTCTTCCAAAGCGGTCTTGACAACTCATTCTCTCAATCAATTTCTCTCTAAAAACCCTTTAAATCTCATCCATTGATCTCCCATGTCTCTTATCTCAACCCTCCATTCTCCTCTCAAAAAATCAATAAATACCCTCGGTTTTCACATTATAGACACAATCTAGCTTGAGAGAAATGCATAGGATGTTCAAAAGTGTGTATTAGGGAAAGCGATCACGGTTAAAGTTGTTGATTCAAAATTTGAAAGTTGCTAAAATCGTTAATGAGTACGATTAATCTTTTTTACCGCTTACATCGACAAAATAAGTTTATCTTCTTATTCAAGTTTCATCAAATTTTATCTGTTTTCTTATTTTCTGATTTCTTTTGAGTAGTTGAGTAGGATTAGCCCATTAGCCATCCGATTTCTTTTGAGTAGTTGTCTTACTTTTTGATATAATTAGCATTTTTTTTACTTAGCAATCGGTTAACCTAGGCAAAATTTTGAGATTGATAATGAATGCTATGCTTAAAAATTAAATAAATAAATAAACAAATGTTGCCAAGACTAAGGTCTCATAGATGGCATAATGGGAATTCTGCATTAAATTTTAATCTTGTTGTTAATATCTTAAGTGGAACTCATAGAAGCTTTGAATTTAAAAATTAATCAAGCCCATCGTTTTTTTGTTTACTTATTTTTTGATCTAGTCTCATTGAACCATCATATTTTCCCTTTAATTTTTAAATTTCATGGTTAGGAATATTCAACGAATATTCCTATTTTCTCATGTTTGTTTTGGGAGAGATGCTACAATGCAATGAGAGTAGCATTTTCAAAGTATGGGATGCACTGAGAAATGAAAGTTGTGCGATGACAGTGAGAAAATTTTATCGAGGGGTGGATTGTTCTCATTTCCCACCTCTGCAATGGTCCAAACTCTGACCACCTGTATCCTACATCTCCAGCGAAGGTAACGCTTTCAATGGTTATTGTCTTCGTCTTCTCCAGTGAAGGCAATATTTTCAACGGTTTCGTGCGACGGTTGTTTATCTACAAAGTATTAAATCGCATGGCCGGCCCTCAATTCATTGAATCGCCCCTCCAATCATGGTCAACTAGACTAGTTTTTCCTCGTCAATGAGCTAAAACACGACATCTGTGTTCTAGATCTGCTACTATTGTCCTTTGGTTTAACTTCGACACTCTAGATCTAGCCAGAGACATGTGTTTATTCCAGATTTGGAGTTTTTCCATGGATTTGTTCCAAATCTGTTGCTAGCCCAATGGATTTGTTCAAATTCTATGATACTTCTTCATCCCTTCGTGTCATCAACCAAAGGCTAGAAGCATGTTTTGTAGAATAGTTTGTCTCARCAAACAAACACATGGACCAAAAAATGAGAAAATCAGTTGCACAAACTAGATTTAACTTTTTCTTGGAAGCATAACCTAATTTAAATTTTAAAGATAAATTTATCAAACAAATAGTAAATACCAATTAAAGTGGGTTTCTATTTACAAATAAGACCTTATATATTTAATCTCTTAAATCATATTAAAAACAGTATAAATGAATAGTGATTTCAAACAAAGTGGGTCAGAATAGATTGCCAATTACAAAGATGTAAGACCAATGTTAATTTTTCTAATTTATTTTTTTATAGTTAAATAATAAATTTCAAATTAAATGATACTATAGTTACCCCTCACTTAATATGCGATCATTCTCTAGATAAACATGATAAGGCTCTTAAATCAAATAAAAAGTTTAACCTAAATGTCTAATATAAATAATTTAAAAATTTTGAAACAATTTATATCAATGGTCCCGTACCTAATATGGGGGTTATTCTTAATTCAAACTAATACATTTGAATAGCAAGCAACTAGCAAGTTGCCAACTAGCTAAGTTGATAAGGTCTCGGACTGACCTGGCCGTATTAGCAGAGACTTGGAGTCCTGACCGTGTTAGCAGAGACTTGGAAACAAATCCTAATTAATCCTGCCTGCACTAAAGTTAGGGGTTATGGATTTGGCAAGGGGCTAACCTCATGGAGCTAGCAAAAAAGAAAACATTTGAGTATGATTTTGAGCTTTAGGACATAGAGTCCTAGAGTCCTACTATGTTGTATTCACATATTTATGACACCTTTGACTCAAGATTTCAATTAAATGTCACAACATATTTCATGTACTTGTCAACAAACATTCAATTATTGCTTTTATCACCGATTCACAATTCTATTTTACATAAATGTTGTTTGCACCATATATTTTGCAAAGATTTATGCATGCGATTGATGCATTGATTTGTGCATTTAATCTTTAAAGTGAGATAAGTCGATCAAAACTAACAAAGAGAATATATCCCAAGTCTTCAATGCACAATGGCGTGCATGCATGTGCACACGGCCTGGCAAAAGCCAATAATTTTTGTAYCATATAGGCTCAGTTTGGAAATATAAACATGCATGATACAAATATATAAAATATTTGTTTACAAAATTAATAAATTGTATTTTTACTATTTAGATATTGTCGTGGTACCTTAAGTTTTCTGACACATCGTTAAACTAATAGGAAAAAAATAAAATATCGAATTTGCCTTTGACTATTTATCAAAATTTTAAAGTAAAACCCAACTAACTGACTGTCTAAATCGGTTCATTGTTCTTCGACTGAGAGGATGCCGGTTTTCAGCATTACTCTCCATAACTTGGACTACACCTCTGTCTCCTATTGATTGGACTAAACTGCCGCAGATCTGAAYGCCAGTCTGGAATTTCCAACAACAGCAGTAACAATAAGGGTATTTTAGGAATTTTAAAAGAGAGGTGTTAGAAATTTGTCAAAAAAACTTAAGGATACCATAAGACAATATCTAAATAGTAAAGGTAAGTTTGTCAATTTCATAACTAAGAGGAGCATTTTAAGAGATTTACCTTATTTTAAAATACAAATTTTTGCACTCTACATACTTATATTTAATACTCCTTCCAAATGAAGTTATAAGGACAAAACCAAGCATAAAAACTAGGTTCAGTGAACAGTGAACACCACTAAAGATGACAAAATTACAAAGACAGAAAACTTATTTTGACTAAAATACCCGTTGCCCTCTCTTATTATCCTGGTTTCATTTTTTGTGCAATCTGTAGAAGGGCATGGGTGAGGAACGAACGAGGAAGAATGACACCAAGAAGAATTGCAATCCTTTGCCCGCTTTTGCCAGCTGAAGAGTAGCAACTCAAGAGGAAAAAACCCGGAAGAGGGGCAACCGGAGAGGAACGAACAGAAAAACTACGAATCCAGGAAGAACGAGTCTGTAATGCTAGTTTGTACAAGCTTTCCCGACCATTCAGCTTGCCTGTAATTCTATCAACAATGTGATCCGGACTCCCCTTCAATCAATGCCAGACAGCACCAATTAAGTACTATTGCAATCAATGTAAACATCGAGTAAACCAAAAGTTCAAATCTTTCTATAGTATGGATGTAGACAAGCTCCAATCATGAGTGAGAAAGAGAAGAATCTGGGCAGGTATCTGTTAGATGCGGTGAATTAACTGAATTGCATAAGCCTATACTCAGGATCGATCCAGGAAAGAAGGTAAATTCTAGATATTTGTATTAATTTGGACTCCTAAACTGAGCCTAATGGTTGCAGTGTAATTTTATTTGCACTAATACAAATGTGTGTGTGCAAATGAAAAAAATGTAAATTCTGGTTTAATTTTGAAACAAAGTAAGGTAAATTCTAGTTTATTTTATTTTTAATGCAACCAAACAAATTAAGATAAAATTTGAAACAAAAAATAAATCAAAACTTGCAGGTAAATCATTTGCACTACCATAGTCATCATCAGTGCAAATGAATTTACACTGCAATCAAACACAACCTAAGTAAAAGAAATTGATTAATATTAAGAGAACCCTTAGCTTGGTGAATTGAAGTCCATAAACACTGAGGACAACACTAGTCCAATTGGATACCGCATAAACAGAATATGACACCGGAGTGTCCTGTTGCATGAAGGACAAATCCAAATAAGAATTTGCATTCAAATCTCATTTGGAGCATGTATGGTCACAGATTTTCAGTTCCATTTCACAGGTGTTCTGCACCTTAATTACATGTTTTGCACAAGAAGCCAAAAGTTGTTGAATTCTAATTTCCTACGCATAAATGGTTGAACTTGGACTTTCCAATAGGAATTGTGGTCATTTTTCTAAAAGGATATTATGTTGAATATGGGATTCCAAAAATGCATTAATTTCATTCGACTGTTTCTCTTACTTTCTCAATTTTCTAAGCTTTAAGTTTTGTAGAGTAATTCATGAATCTTGTTGTTTTTGATTCATTGTAAATGGTTCCCTTAGTAATTACTCAGCTTGGGGGTTGTTCCAGCAAGTAAGTCTATATAAAGGCCCTCTAATCTTAGTTGTAAGTTTGATAGTTTAAAATTCGAGTTTGAATATAGTTGAGCCTTTGGCTTCAATTCTCAGGAGTTGTACTATTTTGCACTTATTTGGTGAATTCCTTGGAGTGCCAAGCTTTCTCTTTTATGTTCTCTCTTGCATCTCTTTCCTCAACCCAATTTTGAGAAGTTTTTCGGTATCAAAACCAATGTATCCGATCCCACATATTTTGGACAAAAGGCTTAAAAGATGACGATGACTAAGAACTGGGAGTGAAGGATGAAAGGAATTACAAACATGTACGTAAAAGTATAAATATAATTATTGTCATTGAACACTTTGAAATTAACATACTACCAAATGCTGAAAGACAACCCAAATTTCAGGGGGACTACATTATTTGGTATTAGTAGAACCCTACCAACACCAACCAATATAAGCACCACTCCTAAGTACCAACAACCAACCTGTTGTTACAGATCGATTTACTCTGGGAGTTAATTTCTACACACATCCATTAATTATGTCTTGTAGACTACAAGTCTTCCAGAATAATTAAAATCAGGCTTTTGCGAAGTCCAGGGTTTCCTTCCCATCATGCGCCTTCCTGAAGAAGTGCTTAGTGTAGTCGCTGTAAAGAACTTGCTTGTACACTGGTTTCTCCCCACTCTCCAGCACTTCCGGCAACGGACCGATCATGTCCTTGGGCCGTGGGTTCACAAAGATGGGAACTGAAATTCGGTTACTTCTCCCATTTGCAACCACACGATGCTCCACGCTCTTGTATCGGCCATTGCTCAAAATTTGCAGAGCATCGCCGATGTTGATGACCAGTGCCCCACTAATAGGTGGGACATGAATCCAGCCATCACCTTTGATCCTTCGCACATACAGTCCGCCGATGTCATCTTGTAGGAGGATAGTCAGGGTTGAGACGTCGGAGTGGCGGCCAACTCCAATAGTGAGCTCTGGGTTTGGACAAATTGGATAGTAGTTAAGATTAATCCTCTTTGATCCCATCAACAGTGAAGCTTTGCTTTCGTCAATCTCCTTCACGTTCAGCCTTGTCATCAGAGCTTCCAACAGGCGCTTGATAAGTGGTTCGGACGTGTTCATGTACTTGAGTGCTGCATCCCTGATTCATGCATATATATATAATGCAATTAATATTGAGAATTATTTATACTAAATCAACGAATTGATTATCAGTAGAGCCAAAAAGTGGGGCATATTAATTACTTGCACTCTGGGGGCCAAAATGCAGAAGCATCTTGGTCCGAASTATAGAAGAGGCTGAGGAAATCTTTCCACTCCAAAGCCCGTTCTGCCCCGGGGATGAAGCTGGTTCCATATCGGACATTGTTAGWGGAAGAGTTCTCCTTGGAGTACTTCAACTTGTCGCTGGCCGGTAACCCAAAGAATCGATGGGTTGCCTGCTTCACATCGTCAAGAATGTCGAGAGGAACGCCATGGTTGATGACCTGAAAGAAACCCCAATTCTCAGCGGCATCACATATGGAATCAGCCACCTGAGGATCTTCCAACATGGACATGTCGATAATGGGTATAGAGTCTTGAGTGACGACGGTGTCCATGTCCAACCTCTCCTCAATGGGTTGGATGTACTGCTTAGGAACACAGGGTATCTCCATCTCTGCAAGGCCCTTCACTCCGTTGCCTTTGTTGACGACGAACTCTGTGACATCCCAGGGCTCGGCAAGCACGGGGGCCATGATTCAAATTATGGAGGGTGATGGGGATTGATGTAACGAGGGGGGGATCCAAAGGAGGGAAGCTTATTAGAGGATGAGATAGATGATCGGCGCAGTGTATAACAGCTAGTGCATGCAATGTATATTTGGGTCTATGGGAGCGGCGGAGCCGTGGTATTTATAGGAGATTACACCCCCTATCTACCCATCCAGGTCTTTTTTGAAATGACCTCAGCGTAGATCAGAATTTTATAGCCCCATAGTAGAGGGGGAAAGCCAAATTCACGGGTAGGATGTGATGTGGTTTATAGGGGAAAGGGATAGTAATAGGAGATTACACCCCATATCTACCCATCCAGTTTCTATTAATTGTTTATGGTCTTTTTTGGAGGCTGCAATTTCAGATTTATGAGGTGGGCTGCAATTTCAGATTCTCGGGTAGGATGTGATGTGGTTTATAGAGAACCTTTTTTAAAAAGTAATATTTTTATAAAATAACTAAAATAAGAGAACCTTTTTAAAAAAATATGAAAAAAGGGCAGTGGCACTGTTCTGATCATCGTCTTCCTCTACCTTCCTTTGTATTCATGCCAGCCATTTCAACGGGTCAACAGATCCCGACAGTCCATCCCGCGTGCCGGAGGTTCCAAAAGTCGGAAATACAATGGTCTCTATGCAGACTAGTTCTTCCAGCAGAAAAAGTAGAGCAGCTCCTTAGAAGGGCTGGAAAAAGGATCCCCGGGGAAGTAAGGTTCGCCGGTGGAGTTTTGTTGTAGGGAATGAAGCCAACACAGGCTGCTTTACTTCTAGCTCTCGGGGCCCCAACGTTAGTCACCGTTCTATTGTATGTCAGCATAATGTTCTGGGCACCATTGTCAAAAAGCAGAGTGAATGACGGGTAGTTCAAGTCGCCTGGCTAAAGAACTTGATTAGTAAGAGGACAAGTGAAACTCCACCGAGCTACGACAGCCATTTGAGATGGAGTGTAGTTCTGACTGCACAGGTAGTTCAGGTAGTCCTCAGTGCCAATATCATAAATTAGCCCCCGGATCGGAGGCTCTCTCGGGGTTGACATGTCCTGATCCAAATGCAAAAGGTGTTGCTAAATCTGAAGAAGAAGAAGAACCAACAGCAGCATATCTGATTGGAGTAAATTTGTTGTTTAGCATATAAGCTGTTGTCATTAGAGCTGATTTGATCGTTGAGGGAGACCAGTCTCTATGCCAATGTCATGTCCAGGCCACTCACATGTGGACATGACATGGATGTCCCTGATATTATGTTGAACTCAACACTTCTTTTATCACTCTTCAGTAGGAGGCCAGGCAACCAATATATTTATCCCTAGTGCCATAACGTCTGGTTTCATCACATCGGGTGCGATTGGGTTGGGTCCTTTTACCAGCCCTTTACTTCTTCTGTTGAAGAACCAGTTTCACATAGAGCTCATCGTATTTCCGACTTCTGGAACCTCCGACACGCGGGATGGACTGTCGGGACCTGTTGACCCGTTGAAATGGCTGCCAGAAAGGCAGAGGAAGACGATGAACAGTGCCACTGTATATTTTCTAAAAAAGTTCTCTATCTTTTACGAATCTTTTTTTTAGACCACGTGTTTCTTCTCGGTTGTTCTCATATGACCATATAAAAAGCTTCCCTACTCTCACCAGTCAATAACATGACCTACTCTACTTATGGACAAATTGTTGTGGTCAATCACTTCATCAAATGACGTACCCTTTTTTTTGTTTCATTGTGACGAGGGACAAGATAGAACCTCTTGAATCAATATTTGGAGCTCATCCCATAAAAAGTCGTGTACAATAATTCGGGTGACGTTTTTCTATTTTTTTCTTTTCTTTTATTATTATTTTATTCTAACTCTCTAATGAGTTACACAAAGGGGTAGCTCCGTTTCCCAAACCCATTACCTACATGTGTAAGTGGGATTTGATCTCAATAAATCTCAGCTACAACCATCATGATACCTTATCAATCACTTAGTTGACACCTTGAAAAAGGGTGATGCTAAAAAAATAAAATAGAATAAAATAAGAAAAATAACAAATCAACCCCTATAGAGAAGAGGGATACTAGGACCATCATCCCTAGTGAGTTTTTTGATATATCATGTGGAACTTGTCAATATTGTTACAGTTAATGTGCTAAAAAGTTAAATATTTTATATTTATTTTGTTTTTTCACGTAGTAGGTAAAAGAAATTTTAGTTGGGTCATTTTTCTATTTTTTGTGAATTTGTGTTAGTTGAAAATGTGTATTTGAAGAAGTTTCTATTTRTCTTGCTCAAGAAGCTATTCTTGTATGGCTCTAACTAAGGAGAAACCAGAATACGTATAAAGTAATTCTCAGCTCTTTCTCTTGCTCTGTTCTTCCTTTGTGTTTTACTTCAATCTGCTGCATGTAAGCTCTTTGTTTTCTCCACTTTGCAT